CTCATTACAAAGAGAATTTTCCCCTGTTTTTTTCTCTTTTCGTTTTATTGAATCTATATGAGATGATAAATGCTAGACATACTACAATCATTTCACAATATATATAAATCGAACAATTATTGTGTATCCCTTCCACTTATTCCTCAATAAAGCTGGAAAAAAGATATTAATTCTCCCCAAATTGATATATAGGTTTAACACAATGCCTATCAAAATCACATCAAGATTTTTTTTGTAGGGGCCTCCCTGGTGGTGCAAGGGTTTATCCGCAGTCACTGTAGCACAAGTTCGATTTCCAGCCAGGGAGCTACCCACATGGCGCAGCAGACTCTCCTGACTCACCCGCTGCTCCCCTCAGCAGTGTATTTTGTCAGTCTGCCTGTTCTATTCCCCACTCTGTCTCTGGTGAGTCCTCTCACCCCCTACACCTCTGGCCCATACCCCAGTTCTTGTACACATAAATAAATTAATCTTTTAAAAAAAGATTTTTTTGTAGATATAGATAAGATTATTCTAAAGTTTGTATATATAGCTAAAGCAATTTTGAAAAAGATGAGGAATCACTATCTGATATTAAGATTTATTATTAAAAAACTACAATAATCAAGGCTAGGTGGGGAGGAACAGCCACATCGATCAATGGAACAAGAGAATTCCCAGAAAAGTCTGAGACTAGTAACAGTTGCCTTGGAGTGAATGAAAATTTTGGAAAGAGAGGTGGTCCTAGGGAAGTATCTGGATTTTCTGCCTTTCTACCAGACAGAAAACGCTTCATATTGTGAGTCAAGAGGAGATCTGCTTTTCAAGGACATGGAAACACCTTAGAATTACTAGAGCTACCTAAGAAAGGGAACAATGCCGGAGACATGTGAACCACTCATTCTCCAGCTCCGTATTTTTCCAGCTGTGTGTAGGCACAGTGATCAGACTGTGTAAACCCAAACTTGGGTTAGAAGTTCTGATAAAAGATGATTGTCTTTTTCTTGAAAGAACCCAAATACACATTACTTTTCTAACTACAGAAGCAATATATGTTCATTGCAGAAATTTTGAAAAATACAGGGAAAGAATTAAGAACAAATGAAAAATTACTCAGAATGTTAATCATACAATTGTGAGCATTTTGGGGGTATATATTTTTTTAATGTTTTTCTCTGAATATCACACACTCACTCGCATACCCACATTATATATACTTACAAAACTGAGACTACATGGTATTAAATCATTTTGTATCCTTTTTTTTTCGCTTGACATTGCTATCATGAGCATAGTCACATCATCAAATTATCTTGAAAAATTTCCTTTTAATTGATTGCAACAAACTCTTCCATGTAGATGTACTGAGACATTAGACATATCAACAGGACATGTCAAGTATGTTTCTGTGAAACTGCACCCCCCCCCATAGCTCTCCATCCCAGATGGCATCCAGACTGGAAACCGCAGTGCCACCTTTTCCTTTTTCTTTCTCCTTGACCCTCTATAAATGATCTCTCTCTAAGTGCTGTTGATACGCTTCCTACCAGCTCTCAGCCTCCCCTTCCTAAGCTACCGCCACTGTTCTAGGCCAGGCCTGATGGGCTCACCCTTAGTGAGCATCATGCCACGTCTATTTCCAGAGCCCAGAATGGCTCCCACCTTACCATAGCTGGTAAGGATGACTCAGCCTGCAATACAAGAGAACTTGCAATCTGCACTCACACCTCCCATCCAAGTTTCCTTGCTTACCAGGTCTTCCCTACTCCTATCTACTCAAATCCTCCCTGCATTCTGAAAGCAGACTCCTAAAGTTTTATTCTTCCATTTTTCTACACAGTGTGAGCCCTCATATTCTTATCTGTCTAAGGGGGTTAATTTTGTCCCCTTACCTAGACTTCTCAGCTGCTTGTCAGAAGCAGGGATTATGTCTTAAACTTCTATTTTATTTCCCAAGGCACCTAGCACCTGGGAGGTCCAAAACATACTTACTGATTGACCCAGTGGGGCTTTGAATTCAAGACACAATAAAGCCTCTTAAAGTCAACCTGGTTCAGAACTTCATTCTGGGACACATTGCAGTGGGAAGGGCTACCAGGGGCAATTGGAAAAAGCAGACAGGGGATAATGAATGGGCTTGACTGAGAATACTGCCAGGGAGAGGAGAGGCCCCAGGCCTGGATTCAAATCCAATGGTTGCCACTTACTGGCTACATGACCATAAGCACCTTATGCTACATTTTAGGGTACCAGTTTTCTTAACCCATAATGTAATCGTGAGGATTGAGATCATGATAGGTTTTCAATAATAGTAGTTTCTACCTCCTGGATTTAGGTAGATTTCTCAAGTCCTCATAAATAACCTGCTAAAGGTTTACATGGCTTGTTAAAATTGCTGTCTAAATTGGGGAGCAGCCTGCATTTTTATTTTAGAATTTATCTAATTTCCAGCATGATATATATATATATATTTTTAAGCTCAAGTTGAGATTTAATTTGAAGTTTTTCTATTCTTACTTGACTTTGGAAATAGGCAAAGAAAAAAATATTACTGTGCTGACCATTTCTTGTTCCATCATGCCTGAATTTGCTATTTCCAAGCACAATTGCATAATTTTACACAGAGTTGAAAATTCTTTCATACACCTCCATCAATCCTGAAATCTATGTTCTGATTCAACTACAAAATGTTTGCCTTAAGTTTTTTTTTTTTTTAAACAGTAGAGGATTTTCTTGGTTTTGATGTGTATTTTTTTTTTTTAATATACACACTTTAGGAGAATTTAGCAGACCTATTCTCTTCAATAATAGTTGAAGCACTTTGTTGCCTAATACAGCCATTGCTAAAGTTTATTTTATACACATAAAGCTTATTTTTAATAATTAAATTTATTTATTTATTTATTTTCTTACATCGTTCATTTTTGTACAATATTTGTCCTCTCCCCTCGGGTGTAGTGCCCATCATTCTCCAACCACCACAGCACCTGGGAACCTCAGCATAATATTTTTATGACTTATCTTTCTCTCCAATGAGAACAGCTGTAACAGCAAACCTTTCTGCTGTCCATACTCTTTAGTGAAGCAAGAAATAAAGACATGTGGTCAATGGGAAACCTGGGCTGGGAGCAAGCTGTTGGGAGCAAGCTGCTGGGAGTGGGCAGGAGAGGAGTAGAGAAGGACCAGGGAACAAGGCCGGGGGAGATAAAGGGTGGGCATCACAGATCCTCACCTGAGGTCATGCAAATTGGCTCAGGGTTTCCTCCACTTTCCTGCTCCAAAGTCCTTCCCAGAAGCCCCAAGGCAAATGGTTAGCCTCTCCTCCCTGCCTTTCAACTTTCCTCAAGGCTTCTCAGGAAATAGAAGGTGTGGCAGGAAGCCAAGTGTCCATGGTGTAGAGTCCCACCAGGCAGGAGCACTGCTTCAAGCTGGGGACTCCAGCAGCTCTTGGATATTTGCTGACCAGATGCCCCAGTTGTTAGTTCCTAGACCCCAGACTTCAGGCTGCCAGAGTTGCTACGGCTTACACCCAGCACGATGGTTCTCCTGAGAACATTACCGGCGAGTCTGCAAAGGGTCTCAATTTGGGGCCGTGGAGCTGTGAATGGCCGGTGGTCATAGCATGCTTCAGACAGCAGGGGCTGGATTGGTTGCCTTCTTACACAGTCTGCCCTTCTCTTTTACTACTCAGCTTGAAATGGAAGTTTCAGATCATAGCATAGGGCAGTGGTAGGGGCACGGCAGGGGTAGGGTGAGGGAGGGCTAATGGCCTAGGTCAGGAGCCAGAATTTTAAGTGCTTCCCATGGCCGTCCTCCTCCAATGTCCAGGGAAACCACATCTCAGGTGCGTGGATCAGTTACATGGAAGGAGCTGGTGTGCAGTGCAGGATGAGAAGGATTTACCAAGGATGACTAGAAAAAGCAGATGGGGGTGACGAGTGGACTGGACAGGGCAACACCGCCGAGGAGAGGAGGCGCACTAGAAAGGCCGGTCTGACTCCAAAGCCCCATTTCAGACAGATCTTAGTTCAAATGTCTGTTCTACGACTTACTCGCACAGTGTGTGGCACATAGAAGGCTCAGTAATCACTTGCTGAGCGAGAGAATAAAGGTGACCTTGTCAAGTCACTTATCCCCTCTGAGTCAGTTTTCTCATCTGTAATATAAATGGTAGCTATTATTCTTATTTCACCTGCATTGTTTCTCCCCACACCCACATAGTTTGCCGGCCCATCTCCTCAGCCCCAGTCCTTCTACCCCTTCATTAAGGGTCAGAAAAGGCAGATGTGCACGAGGCCTTTCTCTTCCCTCTGTCCTTCCCCTCCTCTCCCTCTCCACCTCCTTACCTCCTGGCACCATTGTTTCCTTTTCTATCCCAGGTGAACTTGGGGTAGAGTCTGGGAACTCAGAGCAAGTGTAGAAATCTCTGGTTACAACTCCAACACATACTCACATGGGCCCCCCTTGCGCCCCCACAGAAGGTTGGATCTGGGTTGCAGTGTGAAGCTCTGGGCCCCGAGGGACCTTTACTTGATTCAAATGTCAGTGGGATCAGGGATGAGACCTGTCGCTGCTTCTTCACGCAGAGTGAGCCAGGCTTGGGGAGCTAGCCACTCTGGGGATCAATCACATCAGCACTGTTCCAACTCTGGAAGGTTCATGGTGAGCCAATTTCTTTGGAGCACATCAACCAGAGGAAAGGCAGAGGAGCCTTGGCGCAGGAGGATGGTTCAGGGTGATTTCTACAGTGGTGGTCAGAAGCTACCTGAGCCATCTGCTCACTAACCCATGCTTCCTTGTGAACAATGACACGTATTTTCAAGCTTCATTGGCACAAGAAAAGCAATTTATGGGAGCAAAACAGCGCTTTTCTGGGCCTCCCCTGGTAGCGCAGTGGTTGAGCCCTGGGCTGCGAGGCTGCCCGCAGCCTCTGCAGCTCCGGTTCATTCCCCGGCCGCCGGCGAGGGTCCCACAAAATCAAACAAACAAACAAAAACAAAAAACAAACAAAAAAAAAAAACAGCGCTTTTCTCTGTATAAAGGGAATAGCTTAAATGGACTCTCCATGGTTTAATTTTGTTTTCTCGGAAAGACTAATGGACAGTAAAGACGGGATAAGGTGAGGTTTAAATTCTCCTGTTTCTCCAGTCAGCCTGTGGCATATGGAAGGCATCTCTCTAAGATGAACATCCTCAAGTTTGATTTCCAATAGGTTAAAAAAAATCCCATTGTGTGCTTCTAAAGGATGTGGTGAGTAAAAGAAAAAAAAAAAAAAAAAAAAAAAAACCAAGGTCAAAGGCTAAGCAAATTCAACTAGACAAGACATGTTGGCAAACTCCCTCCCACGAGGGGATCTGAGTGCATCTCCTCCATTGCCGTCTTACTTCCCCTAATCTATCTGCACCTTTCCCCCGCCAACTTTGTTTTTAATGGTGGGGGGGGGGGGGAGATGAGAAACATGGTGAAAAATGACCAGCTTCGCTGAGGTTTTTATATGCCAGAACAAATGACAGTCTTGCAGGCAGGTTCAGGAAAATCAGAATGCAGAAAATTTAGCAGCCTTTCCACACTGACCATTGTCATGGCAACACACTGTGATGGCAGTTGCGTCACCAGGCTGGAGGGGCATGGTCTCAGTATGGCAGGTTAGCTGGCCATTTTTAGCAACATTTGGACTTCTTTCTAGCCTCATTTCTTCTAGCGTTAGCTGAATTTCTTTTCCGTTCTGGGTTTGTGTGTTCTGCTCATTTGCATGGCTAAAACACAAGATTTTGTCAATAGGAAAGGGATGGCTAAATGGAAAATCTGAACATTCCTAGTATTCTATAGCCACCCTATTTGCTGCCTGCCCTCCCTGACTCCTTCCCACCCACTCTCAGTCATTTAGTTTCTTTTTTTTTCTCCTCATCAATTCCTTCTCATACACAGCATTACATACTCCCCTCCCCCCGCCAACAACTGTGACTCATCTATCAACCCCTGCTCTCTCATCATATTCCTTTTATTGTTTTTTTCTATTTTCTCATTTTAACATACAGCATCTGAGAATCTTAGGGCTGGAAGGAATCTTAACAACAACGTAGTCCAATGCAGGGGCCCCTCTACCATATGGCAGTGAAGTCCCCTCCTGTATAACTTCAACGGGAGAGACCTCATTCTTTTCTAGGCAGCCTGTTCCACATTGGGCAGCTCTAATTACTGGAAAGTTCTTCTACTGAATGAAAATATGCCTTTTTTATAATATTTACCCAGGGCTCCTAGCTTTGTGCGTGTGACTGCACAGACACTGGCTATATTCTCTGTTTTGTGACAGCCCCTCAGAGATATGAAGCAGAGACTACGTCACTCTGGATCATCTCATCTCCAAATGTTCCAGCTCCCCTCACCAGACCTTGGGGAGCTGGGGCTCCAATCCTCCCTCCATCCTGACTGACCTCCTGGAAAACACTTCTATTTGTCTAGAGCCCTCTTAAAGTGAGGTCGATACTGCAGCAGGATCTCTGGAGGCCACCTTGCCCCGGTGACTCACTGAATTCCGTGTTGACTAAAATCCTGGACTCGCTTTCAGACAAAATACTGCCGAGCCGTTTTCCCATCTTGTATATGCCCAGTTGCTTTTGAGGACCCAATTCCTGGTCCATACATTTCCTCCCACTTTCATTTCATTGTGTTACAATCAGAATACTGCTTCAAAAAATCTTGACTCCACAAGGGACTATGGTGACAGTTCACAGGTGGTTTGGTGGTAGGAGAACTACGGGGACAACCCCTGAGGGGGGAAATCAAATACCGTCCAAAAACTAACAGTGATGTAAGAAAAATAGCACTTCGTCTTAAACTGAACTAAAAAAACAAAACAAAACAAAACAAAACAAAAAAAAACAAACTTCATGTAACTTACCTGTCCTCTAAGATTTTTTTTTTTTTTACCAACCCTCAGCCTAGTTTTTTATCTCAAGTCTCCTTAAGATTTAGTCCTCTTTTGGGTTTCTTACCTTTCCTAGTTCTTTTCCCTTTGAATTACCTCCCTTATGTCTTCTCTCCTTTGTCCCTTCCATTTCCTCAATAGCAAGACATCACCACTCTCTGGGGGCATGGGCCTGGGGCGCGTGCAAGGAGGCACAGCGCACATGGGCAGCCGCACACCGGTAGGTGTGAGCAAGTGCTGGCAGTTGCTTGTTTAGTTACTCTGTTTCTATTGTTCTGTCTGTGCTCTACTGGGATTCAGAGTCTGCATGGGGGAAAATGGCAAGGTTGAAGGCAGAGGGGAAGAGCAGTGGTCCAGGGGCAGCCCCACAGGAAACAGGAGCCATGTCCTGGGTCTGAGAGAGGCAGGGGGAAGCGAAGTCAGGAGCAGGCGGGTTAATCAGGGTCACCACATGGCAGAAGGATTGGAGGAGGACCAGGAAGAGGATTTTAAAGACCTTAAAGGTTGGATTGAGGAGAAGAGCTTGGTTACGAAGTGAGGACTTGTGGGGTCGGTAGCCACTGAGAGATCAGAGGGAAACTATGGGTCAGGGGGATGCTGAGGACTAGGCAATAAACATTGCTCAGAGAGACAATAAACATTGCTATGAGCATAACCTTACGAGTCTAGGACTTATGAACTCAGAAAATTTTCTCTGGCCAAAGGATTCTAGGACATAGAGTTCCGGCCTACGACTCAGTTGTTGTCACAGACTGGGCTCGGCTAGAGGAAAGGGCCTTAATACAACCTTTGGCAAAGACCCCCAGGATGCGTGTGTTCCTTCTGACTAACTCTGGCACAGCACAGGCCTCCCTTTCATGCTGGATTCTATTCCAAGGAGGGATTCAAAGGTAGGAGAACTGGTGCTAGCTTGGTCGTTACATGAATAAACATGGGGATTTTACTCTCCAGGATGGGCAATATGATACCCTTGGCCTCTTAACTCTGCAAATAATTAGGACCCAAAAAAATGTGCACACATACATGCAAATTCAATTAAACAGGAAAATGGGTGCCAAAAATACTTTGGAAAAAAAAAAGGTAGATGAAGTAAGTTGAGTTGTGAAGCAGAGGCTGGAGTTTGGGGGGGGGGGCTCTACTGGAAAGCTGACGACAGTGTCACTAAACAGCTAGTGGACAGTGCAATCAAGAGGACAATACCAGCCCTCCCTGGTGGCGGAAGGGGTTAAGACGCAACCTATGAAGCTGTCCGCAGTCACTGAAGCACGAGTTCGATCCCCAGCCAGGGAGCTACCCACACAGTACAGCAGACCTCTCCTGTCTCGCCCGCTGCTCCCCTCAGCAATGTATTTCATTCATTCTGCCTGTTCTGTTCCCCACTCTGTCTCTGGTGAATACTCTCACCGCCACACCTCTGGCCTGTACCCCAGCTCTTGTATGCATAAATAAATAAATCTTTAAAAAAAAAAGAGGGCAATACACTGCTGACTGCCATTTTCCTCTGTCTAGAGGCCAGAATATTCTAGAGCAGCCTTGGGGAAGGGAATGATAGGGCAGTAGACCACCTCTGGTGCTGTGGTGATCTGGGGAGCCTGCTCCCGGGGCATCAGAATTCATTGGAGACTCATAGTCTCTCAAGGCCCTATGAGACCAAGGAACCATACTGGAATAGAATGTCTGAGAGCCACCACCCCAAACCTGCTCTCCAAGTCTGAATTGACTTGAACGTCATTCATCTTAAGAAGGTTTTACTATTGTCCCCTTGAAAGAAAATGGGTTCCAGGGCATACTTCAGAATTGGTTTTCTACTGGAGGTGCCTAAAGCTGGGCCTTTTGTCCTCCTGAAGGTGACATTAACTGGGCCAAATGACAATCCCAACCTGCGTGGTCAGTGGAATTCTAACCACAACCTGTTGGGCTAAGAAGAGGCTTCCTTTCCAAGTCAGTGAAATGATTAGCCACCAAAAGACAAATGGTCTTAGGGGAAGTCCCCACTGATGGACCAGTACAAGCTGGGTGGAACTAGGAGGGCAGAACTCAAGGGGTGGTGCTCACCTTTGATGTAGTTGAGGATTTGCTGGACTCGGTGGGGCTCGTTGCGGTCTGGCCGACAGCTTGGCGTGATTTCTAGCACATAATCAGGACCATATGCCGTGAAAAACTGTAAGGAAAGGGCAAGGCCAAAAAACAAACTAAACCACAGAAAACCTCCAAACCAAGCCACATACAAACAGAACAATCAACAGGACCCCCCTCCCTCCGCCACCAGCACCAAGGCCAAGGAGGTTCAGGTGGGCAAGGCAGGCTGGCCTGGCCTGCTGGTGTCACTGCCCTTGCCCAAACCTCCAGTGATGGTCCACGGTGATGTTCTTTTGCTTGTTCAAGTTTCTCTCTGCTCAGGTCTTATCTTTTCTCAACAGCCTCCGCTGATCCCTGTTCTCTTGCCACACTGGCCTGCTCTGTGCTCTCCCAAATCATGCCAAGCTTTGTCCTCAGGATCTTTGCCATTGTCCTTTCTGGGGCCTGCAAAGACCCTCCCCTAGCCCCTGCTGTCTGTGAAAAACCTCCCCATTCACCCAGGCACTGCTCAAATGTCACCTCCTTCACAAAGCTGTCCCTCATTCTCCACTAACCCCCAGAATGTTCTGTTGGTACCTCTCTTATGGCCCTCATTCAACGAACAGTGCAGGCCTGTACCCTGCTGACTGCTGTGGGCTATGGAGAAGGGACAAGACCACCCCTAAGGTCCCATGGGTGTTCATAAGCACCTTGTTGGAAGGGGAGTTTTCATCCGTGACCTCATCTCCCCATCCTGGATGATCAGCTCCTTGAAGGCAGCAGTGCCTGTGTTCTCATCTCCTCAGTCCCCACAGAGCCGGGCAGCTGCCTGTTAGTATTGGTTGCCTGTCCCCTGAACCAGGAATGTCAAACAAGTCTACTTTCTCTAGTTTTTCTTTCTCTGCAGTAGAGTTTATTTGTTTTTAAAATCAGGGATTCAAAATAAAAATTTTTGGATTCTATTTCTAGCTCACTAGAGGAATCCTTGTGACCTCTGGTAACTCACAATATCTGATTCAGATTCTCTATTAGGGCCCGCTTGGGGAAAAACACTCCATGACAAAGGGAATCATTCAATTGGGAGAAGCCTTTGAATGGGAAATATGCAAAGCTACTATTTCTGTTTAGTTTTTCACAGAAATAGTATTTGTGCACACTCTCTGGAGAGAGAGAGCATATGGTCCTTAACACGATGTGCTTTCAATAGTGATATTGTTAGATGCTATGTTAGCCAGGGGAATTCGAATTCCATGGAAAAAGTGGTACAGAGGACATGAGAAAAGCGGCCTTGATATGTGTCATGAATTTGATGCCATTCAAAGAGCCCCTCAAAAATAATCCAGGGTTATTGCTGTTGGACCAAATCATCCTCGTGGAGAACCAGGCCGGGCATGCGGCGGGAGGTTGTGCCTCAGTCTCTGGAGAGTCTGACAGCGTCTTTGTGGACTCCATGGGAATAAGCTGGTGGGGCGATGGCACATCCACGGCAGAAAAGTCTACACGTTTAATTAAAAGGAAAATGCCCGAGAATGTGACAATGTTTATAGCGTGCCTTTGGAAAAAAATGTGTGGACTGACCTAGAAATGAGAGAGGGGTGCCTTCCCATTGGAGTTATTACTCCCTGGTGCCTGAAGCCCCCAGTTCTGGGTCTAGCAGAGGCCTTCAGTAGAGATAGGCTTTTCCGAACCCCTCCATGGAACAGACAGAGGGGTTACCCTGGGAACACATCCATAGACTTCCCCCTCCCCCCACAACTGTGATAGACGAAACTCAAGAGGTTGGTATTTTTAACCAAGGAGGGCCCCTCAGTCAAAGCCCAAGGACCTCATGGGCCTGGCTCTGGAAAAGAAGGCTTCAAACAGGTGTGGTCCCTCTCCTCAGGCAGCCTCTCCTCCTGCTCAGGGTGCTGAGTGGTGCAGGCGGCTCACCGGTGTGGAAGGACGGGTTTGCAGAGAGAGCAGCAGGGAGGCAGCTGTGATGAAGTGGTCCTTCTGGGAGCCCAAACCCCTGGCACCAAAGTGCTATAAAAATCAGAGCCAGGCGCAGACCTCTCCTGCCTCCCGCTGCTCCCCTCAGCAGTGTACTTCGTCACTCTGCCTGCTCTGTTCTCCGCTCTGACTCTGGTGAATTCTCTCGCCCTCCCGTGCTTCTGACTGTACCCAGTGCTCGCATAAATAAATAAATTAAGAAAAAATCAGAGCCAGGCTGCCCCCTCACCGAGGCCTGGGAGGAAGGAATGTTATGCTTCCATCTAAGAAGATAATAGTGCTTATTCCCCGTCAGCAAGACATGACACGGGCTGTCTGTTGAGCACTGAATGTTTGGAACAACGCTTCCTCATTGTGAGCACCTACTAAACGGCGACCTGCACTCTCCTTTTAGTGTCCTCTTTGAGAAGCACACACTGTTGTGAGGTGGTCAGCTGGGGCCAGAACTGACCGCCCCGTAACAGAACTCCACTCCACTGGGGTTGAGCCTCTGTTCCTGGCTGCATTAGCACCTGGCTTGAATGTATCCATAAATAGCCCCTTCTCTGCAGAAGCAGGCTGGCTGCAGGTAATAGCCAAGTCTGGGTTCCTAAGCATTCCTGAACACTGCTAATCAAAAGTCATTCTCAGGCTAGGGGACATAGATGATTGAAGAAAGCCCCTGTTTTGTGATCCAGTGCCACATGGTAGGTGGCTTAGGGCTGAGGGAAGCGACAGGCACTGGGAAGGCAGAAGCTGCATCTAAGGCAAAGATGGTGCTCTGTTCTCCTCTCTGGCCCTCTCCCTTTTTGTTTTTGTTATGTTTCTTATTTTGCACTTGGTAACTCTCTTTTACCAGCCTATGAACTCTGCTAAGGCACAAACTTCTGTCTCATTCTCTTTGTATTGCCCGTAGAGTCAAACTCAAGTCATCAAAGAGGTTCTCCTCATGCCTCTACATTAAAATTATGCTGTATTAAAGACATTCCCATAAGGTTTAGCTCGTTGTTCAGTTAATTCTGTGGAATAATTCAGAGCCAATCCACAACACGAATGACTTTTCTAGACTCTAGGCAGCAGATGAGGTGCTGCTTTAGAGTCAGACAGAGCTGGGTTTTGGTAACTGGATTTGGCTGTGTGCCTCGGGCCACTTCTGCTTCTTAATCTGTTTTTTTCATTTCTACCATAGGGATAAATGCTGACCCGGATGGGCTGTTAGGAACCAATGAAATATCATAACCCCAAGCACCTAGCACAGGGCCTAGCACCCAGTGGGACATCAATAATGTGCTATCCGTTTTCCTTGCCTCACCGGTGCCTCGCCCACACCCTGGGAAGTGTGGGGTGCAGAAAGAAGAGACTGTTCCTCTTGCCAGGCAAAGCCCAGCAGACCCTGTGTCCTCCCCGTTAGCTCCTCTCTGGGCCTGTGGAGAAACCGACTTCTCCCAGTTTCTTGCCCTGTGCTCCTGCTACTCGTTACTCACTGGTGAGGTGGAATGGAAATCTGATCACATAAGGCAAAGGAGATGTTGGGGTGGAGGGATTTGGCCAGCACTAGAAATAGCTTGGGGCCCCACCCTGAAACTGCCCTCCAGTCCTGCAGAGGAAAGGAAATAGGCGAGCAGCAGTCCCGTACCCAGACAGGTGGAACAGGGGATGAAAGAGGCCAGCCGACCTTCAAGAGAAAACATTGGCTCTGATCTCAGCAAAGGAAGGAGGGAGGTGCCAGCCCCTCCCCACCCCTCCCCCCGTTCCTTCAGCACTCCTTTGCTTTCTGGGTTTTAATTTAAAAATTTTTGAGGGGAACATAGTCTTGGGAAGGGGTAAATGGAAAGTATGAGGTGGGGCCGAAGGATGAGGGTTGAAGATAGTGGGTACTCTGGAGTGCTGGGTCCCTTCTTAACCCACGATGTCAGTGAAAATAGCCCAGTTCTTATTTGGTTCAGCCCAGCTCAAGGCACCTTTCTTGCTCGCTCCTCTGCAGCCCTTGCTCACACAAAACAAACAGTGTGCACTTAGATATCTGATCAAAAAGATATTCAGAAGAAGCCTGAAGTTTGTTGTTGTTCCTTCACAAACCTGGATCAACTAGTCCTTTTATTCTTCCTTCAAAATTTATTAAGTACCTACTATGTGCCCAACTAGGTTAGTCATTGGAGCACAAAGACAGAATGTCATGATTACTAGGAGGGAGTAGTGAGTAGTGTGGTGAGAAGTATAATAATAATACTAAAGATAAAAGTAATAACAGGTAACACTTATTAAAAGCTAATTATGTGCCAGGCACCTAAAGTTTCTAAGCGTTTTTCATAGACTGATGAACGTAATTCTCAAAACCAACTCTTACAGTAGGTACATCAATTATTTCCCTTTTAAGATGAGGCTCTGAAGCATGGAACAGTCATATTACTTGACAGAGGTTACACAGCCAGCACACGGATTACTCCAGGGAGCAGCACTAGCCATCAGAGCCTCTAAATCAGCCCAGAGGAAGTAACTCTGTAGTGGAGTCTGCAGAGGGGGTCTGGGGGGGCGGGGGGAGGAGGTCATTCTCAACAGTGCTGGGCAAAAGCAGGGAGTAGGGAATAGAATGGCACATTTAGGCTCTGAAATGAATTCCAAATGGCTCGAGGGCAGGGCATAAGGAGGCTGGGAAGCAGGCATGAATTCCCCAGTAGGCACTGCCTGCTCCCCACACTAAGGCATTTGGCTTTAACCCAGACTAGAAGGTCCACGGGTGCAGAACACTGATTTGCTCCCCGCTGTATTGCCATTTCCCAAAACAGTGCTTGTACCTAGTAGGTGGTAAATAACTACTTATGGGATAAGTGAGTGGAAACTTGGGGGAGCTTGTAAATGAGGGTATGAGCAGGTCAGCTGTGCACGTCAGAGAGCTCACTGGCTCAGTGTGGAGAATGGAATGGAATTCGAGGGCAGGAATGCAAGAAGGGAGACCAGTGAAAGGTTGGTACTAGAGGCCCGATGCATGGTAACAGAGCCTGAACCAGAACTGTTAAGGGAGGATGGGGAAACTGAAAAACTCAAAATGTGGCAAAGATAGAGCAATGAGCTGGATGTGGGAAACAGAAGAGCCGTCACGGCCTTGTGACAGCGGAGGAGGTGAGTGAATGGGCT